GTAAAACACTTCGGATTGGAGCCACAGGAGAGGGGCAATCTACAGGAACACACAAGCACCAAGGACTCGTGCCCGAAAGCAGGCCCAATCTATAGGAACATACCTATACGACCACCCTGCGGGTGATAAGGAGGTTGGGGGGGCGGAGGGGGCCAGCAATGGGCAACAGTGGTGATTGTTGTTCTGACGATGCCAGTGGAGATTGTTGCGTTGCCGCTCGCTCTTGGGAGCCTTGGTGCCGAATTGTTTACGTCACCATTCGCTCTTGGGCGCCTTGGCACCGATCACTACATCGATCTCACTATCGATATCACGATCGATATCACTCCATCGATCTCACTATCGATCTCACTATCGATCTTTCTATCGATCTCACTCGATCGATCTCACGATCGATCTTGCTCAATCGACTCTCCTTTCTAGAAAGAGAATAGACTTTACCCCCCCTGGCGTTATCCGTACCCCTTTTCGGGTATGTAAATCATATATGATTCTAACCACATGTCCATCCTAAACGATACGCGGTGACATCTTTTGTTCTAACATAGCACTTTTTCGCAAATCCCTTGCCAAAAATGAGACGAAGTGCACACGCGCGCGCCGTCGCGCGCGCATGCCGAAATCCTCCAAAAACCTTCGGTGTCGGAAGGATTTCGCAATCGAGCTTCCAAAAGGCATACCAAAAACACAGGGTTTCGCAACACTGATTTGCTAAAAAAGCTTACGCGCGAGCTCTTGCGAAACCTTAAGAAAACCGTCGGTTTTTCAAGACTTCCACAACATGCTACCAAACGGGCTTCGCGCGCGCATGTCGAAATCCGTCGAACGCCCTTGCGCGTGTGCCGTCGCGAGAATCCTCTGCAAAAAACGGGACGAAGTGCAGACGCGCGCGTCGTCGCGCGCGTATGCCGACATCCTTCAAAACCCATCGGCTTTGGAAGGATTTCAACATCGTGTGTCCAAAAAACCTACAAAAACATAGGGTTTCGAAACACGGATTTTCAACAAAAGCGTGCGCGCGCGCTCTTGCGTCGTCGTCGTCGTCGTCGTCGTCGTCGTCGTCGCCGTCCTCCCTCCTCCCGCGTCGTCGTCGTCGTCGTCGCCTACGCCGTCCTCTGTCTTTCCTCGTGTTCGTCGTCGTCGTCCTCTTTGGCGTCGTGGTCGTTTCCGTCGTCGTTGTCGCCGTGGTCGTCCTTCCTCCTCCTCCCTCGTCGTCGTCGTCGTCCGTCGTCGGCGTCTCGTCGTCGTCCCTCCTATTTCGTCGCCGTCGTCGTCGTCGTCGTCGTTGTCGTCGTCGTCTTCCCTCCTCCCTCGTCGTTGTCGTCGTCGGCGTCGCCGTCCTTCCTCCTTCTTCGTCGTTCGCGTCGTCGCCGTCCTCCCTCCTGCCTCGTCGTTGTCGTGGTTGTCGCCGTCGTCGTCCGCCCTCCTCCCTCGTAGTCGTCGTCGTGTTCGTTGGCGACGTCGTCGTCGTCTTCGTCGTCGTCGAGGTCGTCGTCGTCTTCGGCGTCTTTGTCGTCGTCGTCGTCGGCGTCGTCGTCGTCGGCGTCGGCGTCGTCATCGTCGTCGGCGTCGGCGTCGGCGTCGTCGTCGTCGTCGCCGTCGTCGGTCTCGTCGTCGTCGGCGTCGGCGTCGTCGTCGTAGTCGTAGTCGCCGTCGTCGGAATCGTCGTTGGTGTCGTCGTAGTCGTCGTCGGCGTCGTCGTTTTCGTGGTCGTTGTCGCTGTCGTCTTCGGCATCGGTGTCGCTGCCAAGTGCCATTTAGTATTTGCTGTCACGGTCTTAAGAGGTCTTGCGACCAAGTTGCGGGCGGGAGGGTGGGATGTTTGCACGAGCAGTGGAGAGGACAGCTTCAAGACAGTCAAAGTGAATCTCACCATAGATCCCACTATCGTTCTCACTATCGATCCCACAATCGATCTCACCATCGATCTCACTCGATCGATCTCACAATCGATCTCACTATCGATTTTACAATCGATCTCACAATCGATCTCACTATCGGTCTCATTATTGTTTTCGCACCAGCGGGACACCGGGACACCAGCGGGACACCGGCGGGACACCCGCGGGACACTGCGCGGCCCCGTTTGCCGGTCGGGAAACATTTGGTCTGGCCGAGCCGCGCGGCGCCTCTTGCCTGGGGGGGAATCATTTGGTCTGGCCGCGCCTCAGCAACAGGAGACTTTCCTCTCGCCCGCCCACGCAGCTTCGCCTCGCCCGCACGCACGGCACGCACGAACACGAGACCGAAACCGATTTCCAGGTGGGGGGCTCTCCGTTCCACTTCGATCTCACCCCCCAACCTCCGACGTAAAACACTGAGGAGTATATCCACAGAAGGAAGACAATCTATAGGAACATACATAAAACACCTGGGATTAGAGCCAGTCCTGTAACCGTCTGAGGCCTCCTGCTTCTAGGGCTTCGTGGGGGCTCCTGAAGACTTCCGGGGCCTCCTGTTGCCTCCTGTCGCTTCCTACGGCCTCCTGTGGCCTCCTGTGGCCTCCTGGTGCCTCCTGGTGCTTTCTGGGGCCTCCTGGAGACTCCTGAGGCCTCCTGGTGCCTCCTGTGGCCTCCTGGGGCCTCCTATGGTTGCATGTGGCCTCCTGATGCCTCCTGGGACCTCCTGTGGCCTCCTGGGTCCTCCTGGAGCCTGCTGGAGCCTCCTGTTGCATCCTGAGGAGGATCCGTTCCCACGAGTCCGGCCAGCAAAACATCCAAACCATTCGAGACATCCTCGCCATCTGGGCCCCCTGGGGTGCGAAAGCCAGCGCCTCGCTCGAGACATCCTCCAAATGTGCCCCGAAAACGGAGGATGTTGAGCTGGTAAACAGGCAAACCGCTCTAGACATCCCTGCCTTTTTGGCGCGAACGGAAGCCGCGCAATAGTCCCTGGCGGCTCCACTTTGGGGGTGCTGAAATCCGCGCCCCGCTCGAGACATCCTCAGAATCTGCTCTGAGCGCAGACGAGCCTGGCCCCCAAAACTGGCAAACCGATCGAAACATCCTCGCAATCTGGGCCCCCTGGGGTGCGAAAACCAGCGCCTCGCTCGAGACATCCTCAAAATGTGCTCCGAAAGCGGAGGATGTTGAGCTGGTAAACAGGCAAACCGCTCTAGATATCCCCGCAGTCTGGGCGCGAACGGAGGCCGTGTAATACCCCTGGCGGCCCCGCCGTAGGAGTGCTGAAACCAGCAGACCGCTCGAGACATCCCCAAAAGCTGCGCTGAGCGCAGACGAGTCTGGCTACCCAAACAGGCACACCGCTCGGGACATCCTCACAATATGGCCCCCTTCTGGTCATCATCATCATCATCATCATCATCATCATCATCATCATCATCATCATCATCATCATCATCATCATCATCATCATCATCAGCAGCAGCATCAGCAGCAGCAGCAGCATCGTCATCGTCATCATCAACATCTGCTCATCATCATCATCGTCGTCATCATCATCATCAACTTTACCATCATCATTAGCATCAGCATCATCATCAGTATATTATCATCATCATCATCATCGTCATCATCATCATCATCGTCATCATCAGCATCATCATCATCATCATCATCATCTGCATCATCATCATCATGTTCAACATCATCAGCTTTTATTATCGTCATCACCATCAGCATCATCAGCATCATCAGCATCATCAGCATCAACACCGTCATCATCATCATCATCATCATCATCATCATCATCATCATCATCATCATCATCATCATCATTATCACCATCATCATCATCATGCTCTGAGTGGGATGGGGAAGCGAAAGAGGAGGGGAGGAGGTGACCTCCTGAAGGAGGAGTCGGCGCGGTCAGAGGAATAGCAAGAATCCCATCCTTTGGATATGAGGAATAATGCGCAAGAATCGCCGCTGCCGCTAACAGGAACAGTTCCCGTTACGTCTCACAGCAGCACTTTTGAATACTTTTGAGCACGTACGATAAGAAGGATTAGGAAGGGGGTCGGGGAAGCAAGGATGGAGAGACGAGGGCTCCTCCTCCTACTCCTCCATTCTCATCCTCCTCCTCCTACTCCTCCTCCTCCTTCTCCCGGTGCTCCCTTTGCTGTTCCTCTTCCACCCTTCTCCTCTTCCTCCACCTACGCGGGGCAACCGTGCCGCTCTTTTGGGGTCGCTTTGAATCCCACCCCACCCGTCGCGGCCATAACCTCTCGGGGCCGTGTTTGGTCCCTGGAAGCCTAACGCTTAGGGCTCCCTGGAAGCATTACTGGGTCATGTTGGGTTCCTTTGGAAGGCTTCCTCTGGCTTGAGCCCACGTTGGCCCCTCTGGGCCGTCCCGGGGCCCTCTTGGGGCTCTCTGATGGTGTTCGTCCCCTCTCGGGCTGCACCGAGCCTCTGCAGGGTTCGTTCTGTGACGTCTTGGTGCGATCCTGGGATCCTGGAGGCTGCGCACCGCGAGCAGGCGATCACAGCAACTTCTTCCGACATCAGTGTGCTTTCCAATGGTTTCGGCCTCCTGGTTGGGGCATCTGGGTGGCGTCTTGGGGGCCTCATGGGGCCCTCGTGGGTTCTCTTGGGGGCCTGCTGGCTGTAATCGGAAATCTTTGGAGGTAGCGTGGTGGGGCCTCAAGCAGCGCTTCTGGGAATATCGTTTTGGAGGCTCCTTGGCACCTCTCTGGGAACATCGAGTGGGACGTGGACGCGAAGCTTCCTGGAGGTTTCTTGGGCCCTGGGGGGGACAAATGTGTGGTATTGCAAATTTCGTCTGGGCAGGTGAACCGAACTGTCACACGTCAGGGTCTTCTGGGGACTTTAAGGGGGGCGCATATCGGGCTCCGTGGGCCCTCAGGGAAGCAACATGTCTCAGTTTTCGGGCCACGGGAAAACATACTACAGCTTTCGGTCCTCCAGGACCATAGGAAGAAAACAATCACAAGTTTCGGCCTTCTGTGCAACCCTCCTTTGGTCGCTCCACAGTGCTCCATTGTGCTGCGCTGGCACGGTGGCGAGGCTTGCCGCAGGCACCTGAATAGTTCTGTCAAGGTGGTCATAGGAACAAGTGCCTTCATGAACCAGGTCAGGCTTATATGATGCGTGGGGCATGCCAAAGGGACAGAGCTCTCGGTATGATGCAGTTGTCGCTTGAATCAACTCTAGGCCAGATAGACCGGCGCACTCAGGCTGCGAGGTAATGAACGCGCGCATTGGGTTCTTCATCGAAACACGCGCCAGTGCGTTCTTCACTCCCAGCATGATGCTCATTACGTGCACGTCCTCTGCGATCATGCACGGTATGTAGGAGGCGTACGATGCCTCGTCTATCTCCCATCCACCTACGGTCTTGTACCAGTTTTGGTCACTCAACCACTGGACTAGTCGGTTACTGCATGTACTCACACTCGCTTTCACAGTTCTGGTGCACATGCTGAGGTTCTGCTGCCAACCGTAGCCCGAGTCCTTGGGGCAACCACCCCACATCCAGCTCTGCACCTTGAGCTTGCAACACCACTGCGTCCCATCTTCGGACGAGTGCCCCACCGAGTCCCCACGACGAATGGATTCGTACGAGCATGCCTGCTTCTTACAACAGCAAACTGCGTCCTGCTTCAAGACCTCTGCCCCTTCATAGATGATGTGATTTCGCTTCCCATCGCAAGCCCAGCCTACTGACAAGCCTTGGGTGCCTGAGCGGCGGCGACAACTGCAAAGGCTCCCAGGCGAATTCCTCCGCCGCGAAACCATCGTGTCGAGACATTTTTTCCCCGAGACTTCGTCACCACCGGCAAAATCTCCGATGTCAAATTCCTCCAAACTTTCGTCAGAAATCACGTCGCTCCTGCAGAGGCCACATGTCTTGGGGCACCACTCGATCATGAAGTGGTCAAACTCCAAGGGCTGGCTCTGATTTGGGTTTGGGCAGAAATGACTCCACGTCGGGCACTCCACCTGGTAGCGTGCTGGGTCACGACACACCGACCCTGGCGACGGCTTGACGGAAATCAGGTCGTTGTCGCTTACGTTGTCCCCCTCCACGCTATTGTTTGCAAACGTGGGGCCAGGGAGCCGTCTAGCTGTGATGGCGTGGTCGCCCAAGATGATGACGATGATGAAGAGCGCGTGCGCGCTCTTACTGCTCCACCGAAGCATCGTAGGCCAAAACTGCAACTACTATATAATATGATGCTATGCCCGAAACATCGGTCTGGGCCAGAGGCAAGACACTTGAACCAGACCGGCTTCGCCGCCGCGATGAAGCAAGCACCAACGTACGCACGATTTGGACGCCCAAAGTGGGTTCGGAAGAAGTGCGCACGTACGATGCCCAACAGCGACGCTTGTCCGACACCGATAGCGGCCGCTGTTGGGCAGGCGTTTTTTTCTCTCAAGTTGCCAACGTCCGCGGCGACACCGACAACGAATCCTGTCAAAGCTGGACAGCCCCCCTCCGCCTGCCTCCCCCGCCCATCCTCCCTCCTGATTGCCCGTTGCCTGACCTTGGCCCTCCTACCCTCCTCGCTCGAGATCAACCCATTGACCACTCCTGGAACGGTCCGTGTCCACGCCCAGAAAGCTCACTTGTCCATGAGATGTACAAGAGTAGGGAGAGGGGGGGGAAACACCGCATCTTCAGAGAGAGAGAGAGAGAAAACAAAACAAGAACGAGAACGAGAAAGAGAGAAAACAAACAAGAGAGAACGAGAGAAGGAGAGAGAGCGAGAGAGATCATCGGAAGCCCTAGCATCCGTCATGGGATGTTCAGTATCGAGGAGGGTGGGAAGCAACAACATATGAAAAGGAAGCATGCGCAAATGGAAAAAGAAGGGGAGGAAAGGAAGGAGGAGAAGTAACAGGATGGGGAGCAGCAGGATCGATGAGGAGAAGAAGGAACACGATAATGGGGAGGAGGAGGAGGAGGAGGAGGAGGAGGAGGAGCAGGAGGAGGAGGAGGAGGAGGAGGAGGAGCAGGAGCAGGAGGAGGAGGAGGAGGAGGAGGACCAGGAGGAGGAGGAGGAGGAGGAGGAGGAGGAGGAGGAAGAACAAGAAGAAGAGGAGGAGGAGGAAGAAGACGAGGAGGAGGAGGAGGACGACGAGGAGGAGGAGCCCCACCCACTAGTTTTTGACAGTCTGCGGCCTTCGGGGGCCCTCGCCCAGACTCGGGGCCGTCAGGCATCGGCCCAGGATGGAGAGCCAGGGCCAGGGCAGGGGTCGAGACCTCCGAGGGTCGAGGCTGCGAGCCCGAGCCACGACGTCGGTGGGGGGCAGGGTGGGTGGGAGCCGGAGGATGGGGCGGGAGGTGCACTGTGCACTCTGTGGTCACACGTCTGTTGCTGGTCCCCCTCCTCCTCCCCGACATGCTGGCATGTGGAGAAGTACGTTTGCTTCGTATGCCCTCCCTGGGCCGAGACCTTCCTTCGAGGGGACTCCGTCGCACAGAAGTTGGGAGGAGGTGGTTGCCAATGGGACCGAGTCTGATGTGATCAATTTTTTAGGGAATCGCTGGGCTGATTTTTTCGCCCGTTTGGGAGCTGAGTCGCACGCAGCGGCCAAGTCTCTTGTAGAAGTTCAGTCGGGCGTTATTGCCACGACGAAGCTCACCCTCGACTTTCTGTCCAGGTTCGCTCAGCCGATCGCTGCAGTTGCTCAAGAGCCGTCGACCCCGTCTTCCGTGCTGGCCCAGGGGCCCCGTCCTGCGCCTCGGGATTCGAGCCTTGTGCTGTCGCAACATGACGTTTTCCACTTCCCGTCGCCCAACGAGTGGCGGTGCCGTGCGTGCAACCTCCTCGCTCGGACGCCCTCGTCTCTGGCTCAGCTGCTTTGTGGCTCGCGGAGAGTTTGTGGACCGTCACCGTACCAGGCATGGCAGGCACAGGCTGTGTTTGCCCTGCGTGCGGAGCAGGGTGTCCCTATGTCCTCGGCGGCGGCGCCTCTTGCCCTGGAGGGCGCGGACAGAATCCTGGGACCCGCTGTTCCTGCCCAGGCGACGTCTGTCCAAGCTCTTACCGACCGTTTCGTGTCCCTGGGCCACCACATGGAGCAAGTTGGCCTTGTTGTCTTTTGTTCCCTGTGCTCGGCCCACACCATCCTCCCAGGGGGTAACCTACGTGGGCTCGAGACTAGGTGCCGGGGTAGATCGAACCATCCATCGACTCGTAGCCCCCAAGCAACCAGAAGTAAATATGCAGCACGTGGCCTCCACCCGCAAACAGGGATGCCTCTCGAGCCTGCTTAGTTTTGTGTTTTGGGGGGGAGGCCTGTCGAGTGCCGCCTAACTCGCCTGAGCTAGGTGGGCGCTGCCAAAAACACTGATGGCCTCCCCCCGTTTAGTCCCGATTGAGCTCCCGCCATCGGGCCCTTCCCCCCTTGCAGAAGGTCTAACTCCTTTCTGCCATGCGCCTCCGTGTGGATCGGTAGCGCCAGGCGGCGCGCGCCTCCTGCTCCTCCTCCTTCTCCACCTCCTCCTCCTCCTTCTCGTCCTCCTCCTCGTCCTCCTCCTCGTCCTCCTCCTCCCCCTCCCCCTCTTCCACCTCTTCCTCCTCCTCCTCCTCCTCCTCCTCCTCCTCAACCTCCTACTCCTCCTCCTCCGTCGCCTCGTCCGCCTTCTCCTCCCTCTCCTCCTCCTCCTCCTCCTCCTCCTCCTCCTCCTCCTCTCCTCCTCCTCCTCCTCCTCCTCCTCCTCCTCCTCCTCCTCCGTCGCCTCGTCCGCCTTCTCCTCCCTCTCCTCCTCCTCCTCCTGCTCCTCCTCCCTCCTCCTCCTCCTCCTCCTCCTCCTCCTCCGCCGCCTCCTCCGCCTCTCCTCCGCGTCCTCCTCCTTCCCTCCTCCTCCTCCTCCTCCCCGTTTCATCCATCAACCTCATCCTCATCCTCATCCTCATCATCATCATCATCATCATCATCAGCAGCATCATCATAATCAGCATCATCATCACCACTACCATCAGCAGCATCATCATCAACAGCATCATCATCATCATCATCATCATCATCATCATCATCATCATCATCATCATCATCATCAGCATCATCAATATCATCAGCAGCATCATCATCATCATCATCATGATCATCACCATCATCAGCATTGTCATCGTCATCATCAGCATGAGCATCGTCATCCTCATCCTCATCCTCATCCTCATCCTCATCGTCGTCATCATCATCATCATCATCATCACCATCATCATTATTTTCCTCCTCCTCCTCCTCCTTCGGCTCCTCCTCTTCCTCCTTCTCCTTTTACTTCGTCTCCTCCTCCTCCTCCGCCTTCATATTCCTCCTCTTCCTCCTCCTCCTCCTCCTCCTCATCATCAGCATCAGCATCAGCATCAGCATCAGCATCATCATCATCATCATCATCATCATCATCATCATCAGCATCCTCATCCTCATCCTCATCCTCATCATCATCATCATCATCATCATCAGCATCACCATCACCATCATCACCATCAGCTGCATCATCATCGTCGTCATGGCCATCATCGTCATCATCATCATCATCATCATCATCATCATCATCATCATCATCATCATCATCATCCACCCCCGCCTTCGCTTCCGCCACAGCCTCCGCATTCGCCTCCTCCTCTTCCTGCTTTTCTTCCTCGTCCTCCTCCTCCTCCTCCTCCGCCTCCTCCTCCTCCTCCTCCTCTTCCTCCCCCTCCTCCTCCTCCTCCTCCTCCTCCTCCTCCTCCTCCTCCTTGTTTTGTCTCTCCCTGGGCCAAAAGGGGCTTCAGATATACGCTGACTGCATGCGAGCGCCTGGCGGGATATTTTGGCCACGCCTCCGCTCGGAGGCATACTACGGGATACTTTGGCCACGCCTCCGCTCGGAGGCATACTACTCTTCACACTCCTCCTCGCGGGTAGGGCGTCGGTCATTCACCGTGCCCGCACCCGCGCACTGTACGCCGCAGCCTGCTCAAACCCCTACTCCCCGCTGCACGCGGAGACCCAGAGCACTCTCTCCGGCCTGGTACACGTAGCCGAGGCGCTCCATGATCGCCTCCAGCTTCGGCCCGCTCAGGTACTTCGTGCCGGCGTCCGCAACGTTCTCCAGGCCCTTCTCCTTGAAGACTCTGATGCGAGACTCACGGACGGCATCTTGGATCCACAGTAGTGGCACCGCGATATGTCTGACTCGACCTAGCCCTGACCTCTTCATCATGCCCAGCGCCGCGCTGGAGTCTGTGCCGATAGCGGCCACCAGCGTAGCACCCAGATCTGCGGCATAGGCCTGAGCTCCAAGACACACCGCAGCCGCCTTCACACACGCATTGAACTCTGCCTCACCGCTACTCAATGATGGGGTCTGCTGCGTAGAACTATACTGCTTGATACTGTGGCTGCCGTGCTGCACACATCCACTCGTAGTACTCTTCCTGGTGACCACGCATCCGCCCCAGTCGGAATCGCAGTATGTCACCAGTTTGTGCTGTCGATCCTGCCATGCGAACTCCTGCACACACCTGGGCTTCTTGAGCAGGAACCGGCCAAGGTGCTTGAGCTTGGCCATGCCCGACACCGTGGGGCACTTCATCTCGCGCGCCAACTCCTTGCTCGCAAACTTCAGGTCGTACCTGTCCTCCGCCAAGTAGTGGGCCCGCATGGTCAACGATCGGAACCTCCGCACTTCGATCTCGTCTTTGATCGGCGTCAGGTCTGGCACACCCGACACCTTCTCTCCTGGCGTCGACCGACTCTTGCTGGAACCTTTCAGCCCCAGCTCCTCGATGATCAGCGCCGCGTGCCTCGGGTCCGCCTCCACGGCGAGCACCTGCTTGCCCTCCTTCATCTTCATGGACACGAGCCGGTTCAGGATTCGAACCTCCTGCGTGTCTCCCAGCTCTGGATGCAACCCGAGCACGCCCTTCTCCTTGAGCTTGATATGCTTGCCTAGCTCCTCCTTGACCTGTCTGATCGACTCGCGCTGGCCTCCCAGCACGAAGTCGCCCCCGTGCTTGAAGCACCTCACGCGAAGCTTCTCGTTCCAGAACAGGGACGGGTTCGCCGCTCCAGGCTTGAGGCCGGCGTGATCCCGAGCAACTGTAGATGAGAACAGCTCCCAGTTCGCCGCCGCATCCCTGGTCCCGTACATGCTCTTCCGAAGTAGGGCACAGTAGCCCTCCTGGTAGTCCTCGTCACACAGCCTCACAAAGACCCGTCGGGTCGCCGGGCTGTGGAAATGAGCCCTGGTCGCGTCCAGCACCATGAACGCGTCAGGCTCGCACTTGTTCTCTTC